CTTACTACGTACTACTTACTACTTACTACTACTACTACCACCACTACCACTACTACCACTACTACCACTACTACCACTACCACCACCACCACCACCACGACTACTACTACTACTACTACTACTACTCGGGCCCTGGAAGTTTCCCCGTTGCAATGATCTGAGTTGTATTGTTAGTTGGGCACAGCTCTCCTGATGAAAGCGTTCGCTTCGGACAAAACAGTAAGACCTGGCGCTGAAGGACTTGTGCTATGGGCTGCAATACACAACGAGGGTGACGTCAACGTGGCTGTTTTGAAATGTCATGGTGGGGATCACTAAGTAAAGATTTTTTTTTGCTCAAGTGGTGTAAAGCTATGTGCAGACATCCCTTTGGACAAAAAGGGGGTGTCACAAAAGGAAAAGGAAAAGAAAACAAGTAAACAAGAATAGGAAAAGGAAAAAGAAAAGGAACAGGAAAAAGAAAAGGAAAAGGAAGAAGAGAAGGAAAAGGAAGAGGAACAGGACAAGGAAGATGAAAAAAGAAAAGGAAGAGGAAAAGGAAAAGGACAAAAGGAAAGGAACATGAAAAAAAGAAAAGGAAGAGGAAAAGGGAAAGGAAGAGGAAACGGAAGAGGAAAAGGAAAAGGAAGAGAAAGAGGCAGAGGAAAAGAAAACGGAAGAGGAAAAGGAAAAGGCCAAGGAACAGGAAGAGAAAGAGGCAAAGGAAAAGGCAGACGAAAAGAACATGAAAAGAGGAAAGGCAAGAGGAAGAGAAGAGGAAAAAAGGAAACAGAAACGGGAGAGGAAAAGGACTTTTTTTGGTGAACGTGAGGGAAAGTAAGGAAACAAAATCTAATGACTAAAACTGTTGTCAAAATCTTTTGGTGAGGAGAGTTGAGGAAACAACATCTAATGATTACTATATAAAACTATGGCCAAAACTCTTTAGGGTGAAGGAAAGTAAGGAAACAAAATCTAATGACTAAAACTGTGAACAAAAATTTTGGGCGAGGCAAATTCTAATTACAAAAAACTGTGAGCAAAATGTTTGGGTGAGAGAAAGGAAACAAAATCTAATGACTAAAACTGTGGACAACCTTTTTGGGGGTGAGTGAAATTAAAAACTGCTAGTGACTAAAGCTGTGGACAAATTATTTGGTGAAAAATGGAAACAACATCCAATGACCAAAGTTCTTGACATTTCTTAATTCAGGAAATTGAAGGTTTACAAAAATTGCAACCTGATCAAACTGGATCAAATTGGATCAAGAAATTTGTTTTGATCAAATTTGATCAGATTCCATTATTTTGTAAAAACAGAAAACCAGTAGAATAGATAATCAAACAAACCAAATCAAACCAATTTCATCCCCCTGTGAATTAAGTTGGGGGGTGGGCACACCGATTTTCTAGTTATAAAACGCTGCATATGACATCCGAAATGAAAGGCTGCATTTTGAGCTCTATAGAATTCAGGATTGCGAGGCTGAAAATCATGGCCAGCTCTATAGAATTGGGTTGGGGACATGGAAAATAGGTAGACAACTGGTAGACATAGCAAGTACAAACACTATAGAATCATAGAGTGCAAGGTATTTTCGAACTGTTTTTAATTATTGGGTAGTAGGGCCTCTATAGAATAGCAGGCTTTGGGTTGCAAAATCTGACTACGCTGGACACAGGACCTGTAGGAAGCTATTTATGCATGAACGATACCACAATTCTATAGCACTTCATTGGCCAAAGTCACCTTCACAGATTCTATAGAACACCAATATCTACCATCTTATAACATCTATATAGAACACCAATATCCTCAAATCATGGGAGGCAACCCAATTTTTTACACTCAACATGCTCTGATCTGGTCACCTCATGGCAGCCCATCTGGGGACATCGTCAAAACATTTCATAGACAATGAAAGGAAGTGGGAGACAAATGTAAAGATGTGGGAAACAAATGAAAGGAAGTGGAGACAAGCGAGCCGGGAACCCGACCACAAGCGCCCAGTAGATCTTGAGAAGTGTTCAAGCAACTCATCGCTCTGTCAAGCAACTCATAGGAGTCGTCGTATGAGTTGTTTCGAGGTGCCGTTTCGAGGTTCACCCAGCTGGCCTCCCTGCTTGGGAAAGCTGTTGTCATCTACATACGTCCTCACAATTACTCATAGGGCATTTCATTGATTCATGACCCTCCTGTTTAAAAGGGTTGTGGTGCTGAATTCTAATTTTTTTGAGAGTTATGCGCGCTGTTGCAAGCTTTTTGCGCACATGTGAAACCTGAGGGTGCACTTGTGGGAAGCATTGTGAAGCCATCAACTTTCCATCGTCTTGATCTTTTGGAAACATGTTTACAAAAGGTTATGAGGGCTATCATGCCATATCTAGCCATATAGATCAATTATATTCCATAATGTTCCAGATGGCCCATATACTGGATATCTGCTACTTAGCGTGCTCAAATCTCAACAACAGCAGGCGCACCAATTAGCTCATCTCATTCTGACTTGAAAAGAAATATGGCACGATATGGCAAACATTCTGAAAGAATATGAAACCCCACTAGGTTGTCAGGAATGAGAATTTCATCTAACCCCCTTTGAGATTGTAGAACCTCTTAGGATTGAGAATTTAATTTGATTCAATCTGTGTGATTAACCAGGAGTTGTACGGGATCAACTCCCCTTGAACCCTTGAGCAAACACATGTCCAGCATCAGGCATGGACCTTGGAACTTGGAAAGCCACGGCAACTGCCCGCAAGCACAAAATTTATACAATTGAGACCCTTGACATGTCAAATTCGATCATGGCTTGACTATAAAATCAGATGTCTTTACCTTGCCAAGCATGTATTGATACACACTAACCCTCTATAGAATCGAGGCTCATAATTTCCTGTGCTCTCTATAAAATCAGACTCTCTGACATGCCACCTCCAACATAAGCAGATCACTCTTTATATTAAAAAATGCTTTTGTGATGGTATCAGCATCGATTTTGTAGTGGAAATAGCACGGGGTATCCAATTTGATTTAATTTGTTCCTGTCCTTTTCCTCTTTCTCGTCCTTTTCCCCAAACAGTGTGGATACACTAAGGGGGTTCTTACGGTAGTGGAAAAGCAGCTGTGCTTAGATAGGTGTGCCACGTGGGCGTGTCCGGCTAATTCGCTGCTGTTTACAGTGCATTCATGACTCTCGAAGCCCTCGAAGTGCATTTCGACTGCGCAGGCCCACAAAATCTGCCTGCCCGCGGCGGGTGCTTCTAACGACTGCGCTCTCGTTGTGGCGCCGTGCGCATTTCCGCACGTGATGGTCACTTATCGTGGCAGGCGCATGGGAAACCTCGTGTTTTGGTGCTCCAAAGTCGACTTTTCGTGACAGGAGCGGTTTTACTTCGAAGTGCAGATTTCGTGGCAGGTGCAGCACCTTGGACATGGTGGTGATCGTCGAGGAGCTCAGATTTCGTGACAGGTGCAGTGCTCAGGCTTGACTACTGTGCCTGTCTCAAGATGAGCTGAATATATGTATATATACACACACATATATATATATACATTATATATATATATACACATACATATATAAATTCACACCAAACATCAGCATGAGCCCCCCATCGAGCTATATAATTACAGTATATAGATCCATTTGTCTTGAAAGATCTAATGCGCGCGCAAAGGGCAAGTCACTGTCGCTGGCAGCGCGCATTGAATCGGAATACAGTACTCCGTTTCCAAGCTCTTGGGCAACCGCCCTCTCCTGTGGAGTTGGGCTTGCCGAGTCCTGAGAACAGCTTCATTCGTGTCTGACATGTGCAGCTTGGTTTCAGGTGTCCATGTCTTGATATTTTTGGCCAAGCTTCAGTCTCAGACCAGGCCTCAGCATTTAATCTGGCTGAGGCTAAACTATTTGGCTCTTCACGCATCTTCCCACCTCGTTCAGGTGCTGCAAAACCTCCAAGACCTCCCGTGTTCCTTCGAAGCCCTTGTACTTGTGTTCCTCGTATTTCAGCGCACACTGCACACACTACCAAAACTCCTTGGCAACGTTTATCTGGCGGGGCCTTGTACGGATGCTGCTGACACCACCAATTGAGAATCATATTCCGTCCAATTGAACCTCAGTGCAGTTGGCATGCGCCATTTGAGAGCGTGCACTTCACCGACCTTGCACAGCATGCCACCAAAAGATAGGAAGATAAAACCTCGGATGTCAGGCACGAAGGTTCGCACTAGTTGTAAGAAACAACCAGAGACCCCAAAACACAATCAAACATTCTGTGAACCGTGTTTCCCCTTGCTGTTGGTCTAATATGGTCTAATACTGCACATGAATGTCTCCGCAACTAAAATTCCAATCTAAGCTGCAAATCACCAGCTTTCAAGTGAACTCGCTGAGGTTGGGCCTCGGGTATCCAAAACTATTTTGAGGGTTGCCGTCAAAGATGTCAAGGGACGCCAGGGATACCCAGCCATCACAGGGTTATCAAGGATGCCTTTTCTTGTAACATCTTGCACTGCACCCTCCTTTTTCTCAAGGAGCGGCTGCGAAAGGTTTTTTCTATAGAAAGGGCTGCCATTGGTACACTTGCCCCTTCAGATCTGCATTGGAGGACGGATGGATACACGAGGGCACTTTGTGCGGCTGTGATGATGGGTAAGGATTTTGGGTAGCAGGCTCTGATTGCAAAAACTATTGCTTTTTGAGTGGGCTGCTGAGGTGTTTTTTTAGCAACCCAGTCCCACCTCAAAAGTGTCACGCACGTAGTGTCACATTCCATGACCAAGTCAATCGCTCAGCTTGGAGCAAGTCTTTAAGCTGGGCGCAGTGCAATTGCAAAGCTCAGGACCAGTTCCGCAAAAGCTCTGAAATTTGAGGAGTCTTAGAGGGTTACTGTAGATGAGCATGATTCAAAAACGTCTAAGTCTAAGAATGTGTATATAAGATGGTCTAAGCATCTGATCATACAGTTGTGATCTCTTTCCTTCCGACGCTGCGAGCAAGCTAGCCGAACGCGATTTAAACCGTCCGAGTTGCATGCTTGTAAAAAGGCCAATTCTTGTCCACCTGGCATGCAAGCAAAGTCAAAAGCACAGAATGACGAGCAAACACGCCTGCCTCTGCTGGCACAAAGGCTGGATCAATAAACGGTGGCACCAATGAGTTCAAAAACTTCTTCACCGTGGTATGCATACCTGCGAGGTGCATCGAAGTACTGACTTGCTTTGCGGCTGCCCTTGATCCTTCTCAAGAAAAGCTTAAGGCTTGAGCAACCCTATTCACAGGTTCATAAACCAATCGAGCTGCAAGCAGCATCACAGGGAGGATATATATCCATGAACTTCTCCCCGGTCACAACGAAAAGCAAATTTTCAGAGGGGTCTGAATGGATGCAAGTCGTGTTGCCGCCACAGCCAAAGTATGTGTGAACTCCTTTGTTGTTTTCACCGAAGCAATTGCCATACTTGCGCCATGGTGAATTGGGGGCATTCACAATGTCCTCGAACATTTCGGGAACATCTGTGTGCAACGGCAGCTTTCCCATATACCATGAGATGCACGTCTCATGCTCCTCGGCAACCTCGATCAAATCCAAGTAGTCAGATATGCTGATCTCAATCGTGGGGTCGTTGAGGAAAAGTTGTCGCCCTTTGTTGTCCCAGCATGAGTCGCCCTTTACCTTTACATAGCGGTGCCCACACCGTTCCCGCAAATAATCAAAGTCCTGCGAGAGAACATGAATGCATATGACTTGCTGTGTTGGGCAGTGCCCACAGGGAGCATAGGTTTCTGAGGCACAACAACGGCCAAGGCAAATTCTTCGTACAACTTGAAGATACACGTGTTTGAACCAACGCGCTGAGACCTACTAATCTCTATTCATCCAACACGTGTTTGAAGGTAGACATTACGCCGTATCATCAGCCCACTTTAGCACATCATCTGTGGTCCGCAAAGTCGAAGAAGGGCGGGAAATCATCCGCGTTCACAGCATCTTCAATGACCACGGGCTGATTGCGCACAACCTTCCACCCAAGAACAAGGGCGGCAAAAAGGGTCAGCAAATTGTACGCTTGAACTGCGGCCATGAGGCAAATTCCCAGACCTGGAAACGCCGAAGTTTATGTTAGCCGACCAACGTTGAAAGCAACACATGCAAAGAACAGGAAAGTACAAACAACCCACACAATGGCCTGAGCAGGAGTCGGCCGCTTCAAGCGGGCAACTGGCAAGGGCTCTGTTGATACAATATGTTGCGGAGCCAGGCCAAGCCTCAACACAGATCTGTCAAATCCAAGGGATGAATGAAGACCGCGCATAGCCGTGTCTATCAAGAAATGAGTGATACATTGACTCAGCACATAAAGAATGAATAGTAAGGAAGCAAACAACATATGCAAGAGCAAACGGGCACATGTGTGTGTGATTGTGTGTGTGTCTGCAGAGCTGCGACGACAACTTCTTGGTTCAACCAAGCTTCCTCTCATATGCGGCCCATGTCCTCAAGAGGCCTTACCACCAAATTCCCTCTATGTTTGACGTGTGCATTGTCCGGACGACAACCACAACTGACTGATACGCAAAAGCTCCTTACCTCCATGGCTGCTAAGCCGTGATTTGTTCGAACTCGCAATTTATTCAAGGTATCGAAGTGACTCGATCAGCACGAGACAACTCCAAAAAACTCCCCAATCACTCCACACATGTTTGTAAGACCTGACAGCAACCCAGCAATTCAAAATCAACACCTGAACTGTATAATTAGGGTGGTGCCTCCAAACATTTGACAAAGATTAAAGGACTCAACAATGATTCCCCCAGCCAGCTCCCGGGCGTTTGTGGCTCCACTAAAAACGGAATGGCCCTTCTCAAAACAAAAACGCCAGTGGACAAAAATGACCTGAGAATGAGGACATCATGAAAGCCAGCGGAAGTTTACGCGTGAGCCGGACGCGGCGGCAAACGCGCCGCTGGTCATGAGACGATGGCGCTGGGTCTTGCTGACTGGTCTGTCCCGTCCTGCCGGTTCTTAGGGCAAAACACCCCCGTTGCTACCTGGAAGAGGGATCAAGCATGCTCATTTCAGCCCAAAATGGTCGATATAAAATTGGTTGCAATGTGTCATATGTGTTTGAAGTCATTAAGGTTTAAGGAAGTAAAATAAACACGTGACAAAAGTGAGATTCAATGAGTTATACAACGGGTCTGGACGAACATGTAGTCATGAAACATTTACTGTATCTACTGTACAAACATGACAAAACTGGAAACAAACAAACAAACAAACAAATGCACATCAAGGCAGGAAGCTCTTTTTTCAGTGTGTCCCTTTATTTCCATCAGGCTCAAAAAACCTGAACAAAAAGCATCAAGAAGGAACAACATCAAATTATATATATAACAACAATAAACACACCAGATGCTGCGCCGCCTGTTGTAGCCATTCTGGTTCTTTTCAACCAGGTCCGCCATTTGGGATTTCAGACTTTGAAGATGGAGCCGTGTTTTTTTTGGGAGGGGGCAGGACATGTTCAAAAAGTGTTTCTGGCCAGGAGTCTGGTTTTGGCTCCATCATCGCGACGGAACCTTACAAGTCCCAAAGGCAAAACAGTTTTTCAATAACTTTATCATCTGATGAAATTCGTTCAAAAGGTTTGCCGCCTCTATCAGCAGAAACTGTTGATTGAATTGTTGGTTGCGTTTTTTTTTCAAATTGTGAGTGCGGCTCTTTCTGAGTAGCATTGCCGCTGCAACAGAAATGGCAAACACGGCTCACAAAGCTGAAAGGAATTTTAGTACACAAATGGCAATTTAGAGCCATTGTTGCGTTCGGAATGGGAACCACATTTTAATTTTGTGTTCTTACCGCGTTGGTCTGTGTGCAGGTCCTGGATCCTTGCCATCATTGATTTCAAGGAGACATGATTGAACATCATTAAGTTTACTAGAGAATTGCAGAAACATGTCGATCTCCTGACAAAAATGACAAGACTAGATCAACCTTTTGACGAATATTGTAATACGAGTACTGTATATACATATTTTGCGTCTGAGGCTGTTGCGATCTACTTGCCACAGAGACGTGAAATTTCGTGAGCGCCTCTATTAGTGGGAGTCATTCTGGTTTTTATCCTATTCAGCTCTGTTGATTCTATGTATATACAATTTAATTTCTTTTGGAGTGGGCAGGACAGGTACATAAGTGATGCAATGCCATGCCAAGAACAGATTTGCCAGGGACTGAGTGGGAAGTGATGCTTTTGAGAGGTTTTGAAAGTTACTATAACATACTATAACCATGTTTGCGTTATTGCATGCTCATGTGTTAAAGAATCATGAATAAAACATGATGAAAAACATACTAGGACATTAACTTTTAAAAAATACAACGTGCGACCGCACCCTGTGAGCAAATGCAAGTTGATACTCTAATTGAGATACAACATTGAGTCGAAATGTGCAAGTGTCTCAACACCGCTTAAGATCCCGGTCACATTTGCAGGGTTTCTGAGAGGCTTTCACAACTCATCACAACTCAGAGGGCCGCCGCTGTGCAATTCCAAGGGGGTTGTCCAGGTATTTTTTGCATGACTCTGCTGCGCTAGCAACTTGCAACCCATACTTGTGTCATATTGAGTTGACAAAGGTCACAAGAGTGCTTTTGACCCCTCGATTCAAACTTTACATTTATATAGATTGCTATGGAAAAATCCGGCTATTTGGTGCTGTTTCCATTTCCAGTGGTTTGCACATAACAACAGACAGAAGTGAAGTAGAATACTGTGTCAAGTGTTTCAACCGAAGAAACAACAGTCATATCAACGGATCCGATTTAGATTTCATTTGATTGGCCGCCATTTGTTTTCAGACAGCATTTCGTTGAAAGTTGAAAGGGAACTTTTGTTGAAAGGTTCTATTGTTTGCTGATTGCTGGTGGAGGTGTCCCTACTGGGGCCAAACACTTGACGGGTCCAACGGGCCCAACGGGCAACGGGCCCGACAAGCCCCAACGGGCCCGCCAACACCCGTGATTTGCTCGAAAAACTCAAGGGATCCAACTCGTGCGTTTCTGCTTTATTACGCGCATACAGTGAGGTGGATCAAGGTCTTGGTACGACGTTCCGGTCCAAAGCTGGAAAACAACAGCACCGGCACAGCTAAACATTTGCTAGCCCAGGCTTCGGTTTTAACACCCCAGGTATGGACAGCACCTCATTCCGGCACACGCTACTCATCTGCACACTGCACCAACCTCATCCACGCACGCGCACACCTCGCTCTACAACGCCTTATCTGCGAACACATGGTCTGTCAGGCCTGGGGGGGTGGGGGGGTGGGGGGGTGGGGTGGGCAGTGCAATTTCATCCACTTTCGGCACGCACCCAAGTTTCATCTTTGGGCTGGGGCCAGTTCATCCCATGTTGCAGCAAGGCAGCCACAAGGTTGACAGTTGGTACAGTTACTCTAGACTCACTTGCACCATGGGCGCAATAAACCTTGAGGAGCCTCCTCGGGGAAACTTTGAATAGTAGTCGTGCGCAACTCAACCCAACCCTCGCGCCAGCAACAAAGGCTCATGCTCGGGGAAGGGAAGGGGCAAGGGGCCGAAGTTTGGGAAAAAACACGGCTATTTTAGTTTGTCATAGTTTGTCTGTTTCTCACATACAACAAAGCCAAGGCGCCCGACAAATGTGCACAACCGAGACACAGAACCACGTGCAACAAGCGCAGGTGAGGGCATAATCATTGCGACGTGGGCTGGCTACCTATACCTTAAACACTTTGATACATATGGGTCTCACGAGTGAGGGGCCGTCAACGGGCCCGAACGGGCTAACGGCCTGACGGGCTCTCGAGGGGCCTCCCAGTGAGTACTCTACCCTTCGAATGGGGACTGACTGTTCTCTGGAGGCACAACTTATCAGGATCCAAGCTCTTGGAGTGGATGTCATCATGTCATCGACGAACTGTTGTGAAGAAGCAGATCCAGGCCGACTGGAAGCCGAAGATTCTTTACGACGACTTGTTGACTTGTTGAGTGTCCGGGGCGCGGGGCTCCAAAAGTTGACCTCTATGTCGCAGGATTTTCATGTTAACCTGTTTCTGCAGTGCGTCGCGACGGTTTTGGCGACCCGCGTGGAACAGTTTCTTCAGTTTGCAAGTGCATGCTTCATAGATGCAGACAAGGCAATGAACAAATTTATGACAATCAATAACTAGCCTGTTCTTCGTTAGGCTAATTTAAAGTTATTTTTGCTTTGGTTTATATAATTTGGGAAATCTGTGTTGCAGATTCTTTGCAAGAATAGGTTTGCCAGGAACCTGATGGAACAATTTTGGAAGCATGTGTATTTGCACCAGTTTTTGCGGCTTTGCCAAGCACACCCAAACAAATAAAAGAACATTATAAACAATTGCTTACAGTTGACACAGTTTGTTTATAGTTGAAGTTGGTCTATCAAAGCACCAATGTGTTTTTTTCAGTCGGTCTGTTTGCCTACGTTTGCTAATCGGTACTTTCTTGAAGCTGCAATTTTTGGCCGACACTTACCAAACAAAACATTGATGTCGATTGAGTCGGGGAGCATCCAGGAGGACCCCACGAAGCCTGTTACTCTGGAACGCTTGCAAGCATATTCTAACTTTACGGCGGCGTCGCTGCAGTTTTTCAATCCGTTTGTTTGTTTATTTGTTAATGCTGCTCCTATGTTGAAGACTGCGTGCTGTATTACCAAAAATCCCGTTCAAAGCAACAAGCCGCTCCGCTGCTACCAAGAAGGGTCTTTAAACGATGTTAAAACGTGCTCATTTTGGCTAATAATGGTCAATTTAAAATCGGTTGCAGTTGTAACAGGTCTGACGTTTTTCCAGTCCAAAAAGCCGAAGAAAGTCAAAATGAATCAAAAAAGACCTGGTCCGAAAATCCTGATCCCAATGTCAAGTCATCGCAATTCCAAGCGGCGGTCTCTTTATCAGCGGTCTGAACTGGAATCACTGTCAGAATCTGTACTATGGTCAGCAGAAGTCTGATCCTCAGAAACATCTATACCGCGCCGCACTCTCTAAGGAGGCGCTGCTGTGCCTGCTGAAATCTGGCGTACGTCTTGGCCCTAGACTTAGACTTTTCTGCTTGTTATATAAATAATGGAAAATATGAAAAACCCTACGACTTTCTGCACCATGTGGTCAACTGGTCAGTTGAAGAAGTACTGATGTCGTTCAGATGTCGTTTGGATGTCGTTCAGATCACCCATCAAAAATTTAAAAAATGACTCGAGCACTAAGTATGTCGTTCGGAATGTCATTTCCAAGCTAAATACATTGCCTTCTGACCATGTCTGACCCTGCGGATCACCCACTACATGTGCACATCTTGCCGTTTTTTGGTCACTCAAATACAGCTAAAGGGGGTAATATATAGCGGGTCTGGAAGTCAATGAAAATCCTTACTGTACATCAACAAACGACCGTGATGGAAATGTAATTCAAGAAAAATCATGAAAAGATATGAACATTAGTCCTTACTTCAAAAAAAGTCCTCCGAATTTTGGCGACGCTTTTGATGCTGAACTCTGAGTAACGACAAAACGAGAGAAAACAACCTGAAATGAAAACCAGAATTTCGGAGGTTGTTCGAGAATCCTGCAAAATTAGTGGGTTGAATGAGACGTGTTCAGAAGGCCTCTTGATCGAGATTCTAGGTTGATCTCGATTTCAGATGGCCAGGCACAGTTTGGCGAAAAACATTTTTGTAGATTTGTGGAGCATTCAAGACCTTGATTGCTTTTTGCACCAGAAGACTTTAGGCAGGGATTCCTGTTTTAAAAAACGAAGCAGATGAAACAAAAGTAGATGCTCTGAAACCAACGGCAAAAATTTCAATAATCAATTTCCTGCCTTAATGTGCGCTTGGTTGTTTTGTTTATTTTCTTATTTTTTGATACGTGTCATTTCCGATTATTCTAGCCTCAATGAAGCTCAATGAAGCTGTTGTTTCATCATCTTATATAATTGTGTCTTAGAGTTAGAATTAGAAATGAGTTTAACCCTCCAAAGGTTTTCACAAACACGCACGAACAGCCAAGGATACAGAATGCGTGGGCATAGTTTTTACATAAACGACTTAAAATATCAAACATCATTTCGGTCTTACACTAAAAACCAATTTAAAAACCACATATATAAAACTACAAAACCGGGCGTAGGCACGCCGCTTTTAGATTGTTGGCAGCAACGCGGATTGCAAAAAACGGTTAATCTGCGGAACACATCTCCAAAGGAAGCCTCGGAAGTTTCGAGAAATCATGAACTTTAGTACCACAGTTCGAGCACGCATACTCATACCTTACCCAAATGAGTCACAGTGACTTGGGATGATTCGGCCGAAGTGCTGCCCAGGCACCGCAAGTCAAACCTCCTGGTGGGTTTCGCTCCTCTTTGAGACGACGCGCTGCAATCAAACCGCGGGCCCTGGCCTGAAACAACTGCTTCGCTTGGGCCACTGTGCTCTTCAGTGTTGCGCAATCATCTTTTCTAGAATTTCGTTGGTCTTTACAAATCATATCTGACAAAGTCGTGACTTGCTGACCAACTAAGCCCAATACGGCCTTCTCCTTGGTCAACAAGGTCTCTCCGTTCTCTGTGCGTGACTTGTCACTTGGTTTAACAATCCCGCACACCGCATGACAATCAGGGAGCTAAATGGAACTTGCATTTTTGAACTGCACAATGGAACACAAACACCGGTGCCAGCGCAAAGAAACGATTCACTATGCGACGTCAACACGCACACACTGAGAGAGAGAGAGAGAGAGGGAGAGAGAGAGAGAGAGCTCGCGAGAGCACGCGTGCAGAAGATGACTTGACGAATGCATTACTGTAGCATTTTAGAGCACTAGCGCTGTACCGCGCAACACCGGAGTGGAACAGCTTAGCTTTACGTAGAGAGAAGTTGGGTGAAAACAAGAATAAGCAGGTACAGGAATGTGCGTCCACATTCCCTTCCGGCTGAATCCCATAGCTTCGTTGGCATGGCTAGGGAAACAGCTGCCATGCCCCCTGCCTTTAAAAAAAAGACTTGGGAAACAACCGTGATTACAGACCTGCGGGAGACCCTCAAAGGAACAAGGTTTGAAACTCACAGGTAGACGTCATTTCGGCGCACGCTGAGAGATCGCTTTTTGGCCTCGCAATCCTTCGACACTCAGCAATGTCATGTCCCCTTTTGGACAGAGAGCAAGATCAGAGCTTCGGCAGCAGCATGAGCCGCAGCAGCTGGGAAGCAGTAAGCGCGGATGGCGTGTAGCCGAGAAGCAAATCCAGGCGTGCCTGCTGAAGCATGGTCTCTGATCTTCTAGGCACGATTGTTGAATGTTGGGGAAACCTTCGACTGGTTGAAGCCCGGCTGAATGCTCCGCGGATCTGTCTGAAGGTGGTGGTGTGTGCGCGGAAAATGCAATTGTTAAGCGCGTGAAGAACACTGGCGGTGATGTCAACGGTGCTGATTGCACGTTGAGTGGGATGAGCCTGGGCCTCGATATTCTCGATGGTGAGTGTGGAGGTGTCATGAGTGGCTTTCCATGTGGTGACCAGGCTGTGGGCGGGATCAATGAGACAGTGTTGGTGTTGGGGAACGGAGTTGAAGAAGCCGACAGGTCGGAGTGGAGGTTGTTGTGGAAGTGGCGCCAAAGTTGTGGAATGGAAAGTTGGCCTGGATGTTGTGGAAAAAGTTGAAGAAGCAGAAGCTGCGCGGAGGAGAAGGCCATGAGCGGATTGGGAATAAGACAGTGTGTTAGCAATCCCGGGTGACGTTCCTCTGAAGACAGGTGACGACCTGAAGCCTTGAAGACCTGAAGCCTGGTGACGACCTGAAGCCTTGAAGACCTGAAGCCTAGTGACGACCCGAAGCCTTGAAGACCTGAAGCCTCTTCGTGTCTCCGCGCGTCTTCGTGTCTTCGCGTGTCGTGTCTTCGCAAGTCTTTGTGTCTTCGTGTCTCGCGTGTCTTCGTGTCTTCGCGTGTCTTCGTGTCTTCGCGTGTCTTCGTGTCTTCGCGTGTCTTCGTGTCTTCGCGTGTCTTCGCGTGTCTTCGCTTGTCTTCGTGTCTTCGCAAGTCTTCGTGTCTTCGCGTGTCTTCGTGTGTCTTCGTGTCTTCGCGTGTCTTCGTGTCTCCGTGTCTTCGCGCAAAAGTCACAACCCGCTTCTGCCAACGCAATGATATAAGAAATGATGGTTCGCCATTGCTTCTCTCTTGAGGTGGGAAATGCCACGGGGATCTTGAATGATCAAGAATGTCTTCCGAAACCCGTTTGTAGCGTTGGCGGAGGGCGGGAGGAAAGCGTTGGCAAGGACCTTCGGTAAGGTGGGGGAGTGGTTGGAACAGTTCGGGAGCCTTGGGGACAAAGCAATCGAAGCCGCTGAAGTTCATGGTCGGTGTGATGCAGCAATGTTCAGTTACCCCAACGCCGCCGGAGCTGGGGCATCTGGAGGTGAAGCGTCTCTGTGCGAAGATGGAGGACGCGTTGACGCCACTGAGATGTAAGAAAACATAGGCAAGTTGGCGTAGCGTTGGCAGGCAACCGTGTGTCTTAAACCATTTGGCGAGGGCTTTTGTGAAGGTCTGAAAGTAGCGGCTTGGTGGGAAAGAAAGTACTGTTCATATTAGCATCATCAAAAAAGCGACGGAGATGTGGCGCGGAAAGGGTGAGGACATGATGCCTATCAGTAACGCAGTGTTGTGGACCAAGCGGCAAAGTATACGGAGGTGCTGACAGGCGCAGGCGTCATTTCCCAAATTTGTTCAGAGGCAGATAGATTTTGTGCAGCGCCCTCCTAAAGGCTAGTTAGTCAAGATGCGAGTGGCATCCATATGGTTGATAATCAAAGGAAGTTTAGTGTGCAAAACTTCCGTGTTACGGACATTCAACAGCTGTTCAACCACCACTCATCATACACCACTCATCAAACACCACTCATCATACACCACTCATCATACACCACTCATCATACACC